TCAATCCAGACCCAGAAGCCACGATATAGTCACCCACGGCTTGTTCATCCCTGAATCAATGAGGTATGATGGAAGCAAATCAGTTCAACAAGGGTGAGCCATGAGGCCCCCATAAAAGATATAAAAGATGTCGCTGCTACCTATGGACGACTGCCGGGAGGTCGCCTTGTGTCTCTCCGTGCTTCACAGGCACACCACCTTATGGATAGTGAAAGAGTTGACGAGGAAAACGCGCGGAGCAGCAGGATTCCACTGTGCTCAGACAGGTCATAGACACTGGGATGAGGAGAAGGGAGCCATTTTTTGGATTAGATGAGGCCTTCGTAGACCCCAGAGCCCCCGAGTCCGCAAGGTTTCAAAATCTGAAGTTCAACAGTTCAATGCAATGTGCAAATGGACAAAGACTTGGCATTGGGCAGTCTCTGCGCGGCCATTCGTAGAGGACATGAGAGCGAGAGAGACAGAGATGGGTTGCTTGGAACGGCTGGGAATCGAGCTGCCACTTCACATACTGTGCACATGCCCATACTGAACTTTCGCCGAGTACAACTTGTTTGTCCAATGTATCGATGCCACAAAATGGCAACTGCGTCGGAATGTTTTCTCTATAGCCTGAATCAGGTGTTCAGTTTTTGCATGGCTCCTTTGGAGGTTTTCTGCAGCATCTCCTTGTTTGCTTGCTGGGTCATGTCAGAAAGGTGCCTTCGCCTGTTGCTGACATTCAGGTTCAATGCATGCCCCTTGCGCTGGTTTCGACAGAGCACAACTTTCAGTTTATTTGAGTTCAATTTCTTCAATATCTTATAGAGAAGTCTGGCCCAAGGGGCAGTGCTGCAAATTCGGGTGCGGCAACTCATGGGCGCAGAACTTCCCTGCAACTGGCTAAGTGGTGGTCGCTTCCCGACAGTCACAAGGAAACCAGACCAGACCAAACCAAGAGTCAAACGAGCAACCACCGCAAATACAAGCACACACACACACACACACCGATATGGACAACCACGCATGCGCACAAGTAGTCACAAGTAGTCAAGCTTGCAAACGAACAAAGCACGATCCAGACACTCACGCAAGAACCAAGAGCCCAGAGACCGACACAGACACAAATCAAACACAGGGCTGGCGTCGAGCTCTGCCAGGCATTCGCGGTGCAGTTGGCGAAGCTCCAAAAGGGCTGGGACGAGGCAGAGCAGCGCGTGCAGAAGTTGCAGAGGCACCCAGTGGAAGAGGCAGAGCTCAGTTCACGTTGATCAGTTGCCATGGAAGCCAAATGGGTGTGTCTGACAATAGGGATCGGTCCCAACATGGCAACGGTTTCCTGTTTGGTTCCCTTTCAACGCCAACCAGAAGGGGTCCACCATTTTGAGAATCACCCGCATGGGCCCGGTTCTGCTTTGATTTCCCTTTTTGCACAACCACCTCAAACACCGACATAGCCGAACCTTGATCATTTTGATTTGTGTGCTTCGCGGTTTTTCCATTAAAGATGAACAACAACATGGCAACCTTCCCTTTTTCCATATACCCTGGGCAACTACAAGTAAGAAAGACAATCAGAGGCAGCCCACTTGGCGACTTGGGATGGGGTGCCTTGTTCAGACCTTCGTTGTCCTTTTTCTTCGTCTACCCCGAGCCGACAGTTCTCGAAGCTTTCGCCCTGGGCACATGTGTTTTGTTTTTTGTTTTTTTCTCCGCGCAGGACATCTCAGTTGTGTCGTTGGCATTGCTTGGCACCGCATGCTTTTTGTTGGATGTGTTGTTGCTTTGTGTTGTTTTGCTTCTTGGAGTGTAGATCAACGACATGATGGCTTTCCTTGTTTGCGACCTTTGCTAAGGTCAGGCCCGGCCCGAAGCAATGAGGAGAACGTGTCAGCGGCGCGGGGGGAGGGGGCGGCATGGGAACCATGGCCTAAGCTTGGGCACTAAGAAGGATGCAAAGACGCAACAGTGCAAGACTTCTGAATCTGCAGGTTCACTCAAGATACACCTGCCAAGATGTGCCCCTTACGCAAATCGCCGAAGCCACGATAATTTCCGAAACCACTATGAGGTTTTCTAAAAGAAGACAGCCATATTTTGCCACACTGATAGGGCTTTGTGATTTCCCGATCGCACTTTGTATGGAGGAGTGCCTTTCTCAACCTGCAAAACACGACAAAGCTCGTACCATGAAGTTCTGTGTGTTCTGTTATGTTCTGCAAGTTTTTGGGAATACTTGGCTCATTGACTTTTCAAGCGATGGGCATTGTAGAATGCCTTGTTGAACATACCGAGCCATTTTGCAGGAATGATCATAGATACCGTTGTTCAATTCTCCCTTTGCGTGGTGCGAACGATGTTGTTGATCGTGGTCCACCCGTGTGTTATCGTTTGTTTGCACATGTCTCATCGCGGTCGTGCCTAAGCGTTTGTTGGCCGATGTATGAGCCTCTCTACCCCCGGCGCATGAGATGGTTACAAGCCCACATGCTCAAGGCCGCCGCACTGTGTTTTTCTCCGGTTGCTTGTATCTTTTGCAGGCTCGCTTGACCTGTGCTCAAAGGTCTTGCTGAGCTGGTCAAGCAAAGTGCCCTTTGTCTGATTTGTGCTTGCGACTTATCGGCAACGTAACGTACTGGATGATGAAAACTCGTCCAGGTGGCCACTATCCAATCACCACCAGTTTTCGTTGTTGCAAGCAGAGCACTCTGAGCGTGGTCGTAGACCCGTAGTTCTGCTGGTTTGGCATGCCTGGATACAAGGCTTGCGAAGCCTTTGAAGGTACATTGGCAGGCTCCAGGCCGCATGAACATGAGAAAGGCAATGGTGGTTTTCCCTTTGACGTCCCTTTGGCAACCACCCAACAAAGACGCACTCGTACCCTCGAAAAAGACCCACCCACATCTTAGTATGACTAGCGATCCCATGCAGCCTGCTTTTTGTAGGCGGAATCCGACATGCTCCAACCTGGGCAGGTGCGACAGCAGCAGAAACAGCTGAAGAAAAGCGAAGAAGAGTGCGACTTGCCTGCACTCACCAGTGTTTTCGCAGCTGAAAAAGCGTCGATTGCCAAAACGCTGGAAACAGTGCCTTCATGAATTCGGATCTTCCCTGCACCAGGAAGGGGGGTAACCACGACAAGCCTCTGGTAACACCGACTAACTTTGGGGTAACCTCGACTAACTTTGGGGTAACACCGACTAAGAAGGAGGATGAGGGAAATGGAAGGAAATGGAAGGCTCCCTGCACGGCTGATTTGCAAACTTCATGCCAGTTTACCTGCGTCCATCAAATGTACTGATTGCAAGCACCATCACAGCAAGCCCGGAAATGCTACAGGCGCTTGATCAGCGTTATCATGGAACTCCGCTTGCTTCAAGGGTGCACTTCAAACCAAGTTCGACGCTGTGAGTCAGGCGACTTTTGGGCAAAACGTTGGGCAAGTCTGAGGTCAGAAGCTGGGGGCGAAACTGGAGAAAGAGCTGCTGGTCTGCAATTTGGGAGGTCTGGTTCTGCACCAAAGCGACGGACAATATGCCCGGGATATCCGCTTGACATGATCCTTTGTTTGCTTTGCAGATTGAGGGGTATCTGTTTCCCAGACGGATCGTTCAGATCCATGGGCAGATCTAACCATATAATGTGATGTCATGCTGCAAAGGTACAGCCTGGAATCAAATCTACAGCCATCGCTGAATTCAGCTGACCTAGATGCATCAACTAACAAAGGCTTGAGTCGCACTCAGAATGGCAGATGCCGCGTTTGTACCAAATTACCCTGTAGCGTGCCTAGCCCAACTCTCCAGGCGATCACAGGCTGCATAAGCCAGAAGCTACTGGCGCGCTCAGAAGCCAAGGACGGCAAAGGTCGAGGAGTTGAAGCAGAACATGGACCAGGCAAATTGTGGGAGTTCGGCAATGCCAAGCTGTTGGCATTTGTTCATCGCGTCCTATTTAGTTATACCTCTCAAGTTGAAAAGAGTGGCCAGTGGGGGGGGCCAACGAATGTCATACCTATGCAGAACTTTCACAGAAAAGTTGACAATGTTGGCACATGTGTGGACAATTGGAATTTCTGCCTGAGACTGCATGCAGACAGATGTAGCAAAGCACCAGGGGGGGTCTTTGTGACGGGCATCAGCTTGCTGCTGGCCCAATTTCACTGAGACGCTGATCAGTATTTACAACAGGGTGTAGAAGTGGTTGACATGTTTTTTTAAGTGCGCCTCCTCACCGCAAGCGGCAAGGTCATCAAAGACGCCAAAGAGCGGGACGAGGCATACCTGTTGGCCCAATGCACTTGCACGGCATGTGCAATTGGCCACAAGCTTTGGCTCTGGGCGTCCTTCAGCCCTGCACCACCCGACATCAAGAGATTAGCCATCTTATTGTGTGAGCCATAGCCTTACGGCTTGTTGACAGCATCTATGAACAATCCTCCTGACAACCTGCATGTTTGTTCTTCCACCGTCTCTTAAACACAGCAGGCGTGTTTGGATTCATGTGCGATACAGAGAACCAGCAGCCGGTTTGAACTTGTTGCGATTGCTTGGCCTCAAATCTGTGCCTTTCTCGGCCACTGTGTTTGTGCCCCGAATTCGTTGCACCAGTGCTGAACCCAACCCCCAAAAGCATGTGCGATACGCGAGGCGATGTGCCAGAGACAAAGTGCCAGCGACTTTTGCAGTGACCGCCGTCGTAATTTCGAATGCGCCCAAGCTAACGCCAGGCACGCATGAGGGAGATCAAGCAGCTGCGGGACAAGTCTGAGCAGGAGATGGATGGTTTGCCCACCTGAAAATTTCCATGCATCTTTGGTGCATATTGCTTGGATGTTAGGACTTTAACTTTTTGCCAACTAGTGGGTTTTCCATTAAGCCACTAAAACTTAAACATTTAGCAGGGGAGCAGAAAGCAACCGAGGTATGATACCCGAAAACAGAGGTTTGGCAGAAGGTCATGCAGTTCGGGATGCTATTGGTGTTACAGGCCTTCAAAGACTGTAGGCCGCCATCAGCAAC